CGTGAGCCCGGCTGGGAGAGGCGGCTTGAGCGTTTCGGGATACAGGCACAGAAAAAGGGGCGAGAAAGCGAAACTGGGATGGCTAGAGAATTCGCTGAAAGCTCGGAGCAGGAGAAGAGGAAGGACGTGGTCTAACCATCCCAGAGGCACCTGCACTATGGACTTTTCCAGCTTTTCTCCTCCCGTAACCTGGGCTTTGCATGCTCAGCAGTGATACTGCTCAAGAGTCTCTGAATCTGCTGAGCAGCCCCAGCTCCGTCCCCTGCACCTCTTCCAGCCCAGCAGCCGTGGCTGCAGAGGAGAGCGTTGTCTCCGAGGTCCGTGAGAGGGTGCACACATACACTGCCAAAAAACCCCACTTTGACTAGTGACACTAAACTGGGAAAATTCTCACCTTCCCGTCAGCATGTCACCTTTGTTCCTTCTGTCTCAGTGGGTAGGACAGCAGTACCAGGCATTTGCTTTTTTATCTGCTCATCCCAAATTGTCTTGTTTTATGCCTCCCATTTGTGTGGTGGGACAGAGACCCACGAGGATTTGTCACACCACATAACAACAGCAAAGGTCAAAATTTGTTCGGAAAATCAGGGCAGCAAACAAGAACAACAAAGTAAGTGTATGGTGAGAACAAGCACAAATAAGAACAAACACCCGCGTGGTACTAAACAGGCAAGAAACACTAACCTGCAGCTACCTTGTCTGCTGGATTTAAAGCTGATGAAAAGACAAGGGTCAAGGTACTGTGGTGGGAATTCAGGCAGGAGCACTGCGTTGCTTATTACAATGGCATTGATGAGCCAGGAACAGCTGAGTTTCTGCAGTGTGATTATTCAGATGAAGGATAGAGAAAGAAACACAGGAAGGAAATCAAACTGTGGTCCTCTGAAACACAAATTGTGAACATCAGAGATGAGTCTGGAAGAGGTCTAGGTGTGCACCAAAATGGGGTAATGTGGCCCAATCCCAATAGAGATTCCACTTGGAATCTCTGCTGCTGCTGAGGCAGTGAACCATTTATCCCACCATACAGATGGGCATGTGAATAGCTGGGCCCCTGGAGATCTGAGATGGGTGTCTCCAGTACAACAGTTTCACTTTGTATGAATAAAGTTAACTTTTTAAAGTGAGGAGACGAGTTGGCAAAGACAGAGGTTAATTTGATCATGTGCAGTCACAATGGGTGAATGTGCCCTCCCTAATGGATGTTTAATAACTCTAAGTGGAACAGCATCAACAAATTATTAAGTATTTACTGACCAAGAGACTTCATCCTGAATCTCACCACTCAGTGCTGAAACTGCCAACCTAAAATAGTAACTTTCATAGTATTTTTCCCTGGCCAGAGAATATTTAATTATTTCTACAAAATTAGTTACATGACAGATCTAGATAATCACCTCCAACTATGCCTGTGGGCTAGTCGCTGTGGTAAACTGTTCCTGGTAAAGTTCTTCCCCAAAATTGTGCAGGAGGAGATTTGAGGGAAGGCCCACTACATCACAGCAGACTGTGGTGAGCACCAGAGTATTCAGTTCCCTTTTTTGTATGCTGTGCAGGAAAGAGCTGACGTGACTGACACCTAAATAGTGAAGAGTAGCATGGCTCAAAATCCTATTTACCTCTGTTCCTGAACAGTGTTGGGCTTTGAGCTTCATTACCCCTCCTCTGATTTCCTTCTGGCTAATTTAGGTTTTGTGGATTCTACTTTTAAGAGTCCAAACATTCCTACTTGTAACTTCATGGCCGACTGAGGTCTCAAAAACTGGCAAGATAATTCAGAGTTATGCCTTACAATGCTATGCCTAGGAAAACTGAATCTATCCCAAAGGTGGTTTTGAACACATTAAATAGCTTACTGTTAGATATCAGGATTCTATCTAAGTAGTCTTTTATTTAGTCCATTTGGAAAAACGAGATAAAATCACATCAGCTGCATTTACATACATTTGGTAAATATTTGATATTTCATAGCTCAGCTGTCCCTGGAAAGAATGGCCTAAAATACCACCTATTGGGACAGAAATAATCTTTATAATACTGTGAGAAGACAACTGGCTCCATGCTCGTAATGATCATTGAGTATGTGTTGCTGCTGCAACAAGACCTCTGGCTCCTAATTGCTTTTGTAACCTTCACTCACCTACAAACCCTTTCATTCTTCATCCTTCTCTTTGCACAGTTTAAAACAAATTTTTGCTCTGTAATCAGTGGCTGACTCTGCACTGTTGTAATGATTTGGGCCTGGAGTTACATTTCTTCAAAATAGCTAGGACTAGGATGTGCTTTGGATTTGTGCTGAAACAGTGTTGCTAACAGAGATGTTTTGTTACTGCTGCACAGTGCTTTTCAGCTTCTCACCCCACCCGGCCAGCTTGTAGGCTGAGGGTGCACAAGAAGTTGGGAGGCGACGCAGCTGGGACAACTGACCCAAATGGACCAAAGGGATATCCCATACCATATGACATTGTGCTCAGCATATCAAGCTGAGGGAAGAAGAAGGAAGGGGGATGAAGAAGAGTGAAGAAGAGTGTTGGTATTTGTTGTTCCAAGTACGCATTACAAGTATCCATTTGTTAACAATATTTATTCATCAGTGACCTAGACAAGGGGACAGAGCATATCCTCAGCAAGTTTGCTGATAATACAAAACTGGGAGGATTGGCTGACACACCAGAGGCCTGTGCTGTCATCCAGCATGACCTGGACAGGATGGAGAGCTGGGCAAAGAGGAATTTACTGAGGTTCAACAAGGGCATATGCAAGGTCCTGCACCTGGGGTGGAACAATGTCATGCATCAGCATAGGTTAGGGGCTGACATACTGGAAAGCAGACATAAGGAGAAGGATCTCAGAGTCCTGGTATACAATAATTTAAAAATGAGCCTGAAATGTGCCCTTGTGGCCAAGAAAGTCAATGGCATCCTGGGATGCATTAGGAAAAATATGACAGTAGGTTGAGGGAGGTCATCCTCCCCTTTATTCTGCCCTAGTGAGGCCACACCTGGAATACTGTGTCCAGTTCTGGGCTCCCCAGTTCAAGAGAGACAGGGAACTACTGGAGAGAGTCCAGTAGAGGGCAACAGAGATGACTGGGGGACTGAAGCACCTCACTTATGAGGAAAGGCTGAGAGAGCTGGGACTCCTGAGCCTGGAGAGACTGACAGGAGAGCTTACCAATGTCTACAAATACATAAAGGATGGGTGCAAGGAGGATGGAGCCAGACTCTTTTCAGTAGTTCCCAGTGACAGGACAAGGGGCAAGAGGCACAAGCTGGAACATAAAAAGTTCCATTTAAATATGAGGAAAAACTTCTTTACAGTGAGCATGACAGAGCACTGGAACAGGCTACAGGGAGTTTGTAGAACCTCCTTCCCTGGAGAAATTCCAGACCTGCCTCGATGCAGTCCTGAGTAATGTGCTCTAGGGGATCCTGCTTTAGCAGGGCAGTTGGAGTGGATGGTCTCTAGAGGTCCCTTCCAAGACAGTTCTGTGATTCCTTTATTATCTGGGGGAAAAAAAAACCCTGCAAATGTTATGTATATTGTTTTGGCTGATCCTGAAATTCAGCAGTTCTTTTGAAGGAGTTTAAAGGTGGAATTATAACTGTTGCCCAACATACCAGGCAAGAGAAAGAAAAACGAAAAACCTCTTTTCCTTGCCATACCATGGCAGAACTAAGATGTCTGTTTATGATCTTCCTCATTATCCTGTATATTTTTTCTGCCTTTGTTTTCTCATCTGATGCTCTAGAACCATTCCCTCAAACTGTGGCTGTCAAAGGTGCTTCTTAATTAACCAAAGGAAAGATGACAGGTTTAAAATAATGCATTTTATCAATTGTTCTTGCTCCATTTTCTACACCTGGAGAAACAGCCAAAATTTATTTATGCATTTCTGTTGGCATATCTTCAGACACTGGAGCATCTGGTTGCAAAGGTCCAAATGCAATTCTCCTTAATTGTTCTGCTTCACCTCTAACAATCTGAGATTTCTGTTCTGATTCAGATACACTCTGTAAGTTAAGACCTACAACGTATCCTTATTTCAGGGGCCTTTAACAAACCTATTCCTTTGTCCTTTACCTTTTGCTTAAGAAATCATTATCATTTGTTAGGAAGTGCAGCCTGAACCAGAACTCCTTTCCTTATCTTATCCATTCCTGACATGACATGCCTCACCCTATCATTCTGACTTATTTTTGGGGGGGTCTCCTACAATTTCTTATAAAAAATAAAAATAAATTAATTCATTGCTCAATAATTACATTCCTTTAGATTTTCTAGTCCATGTTATTCCAACCCTCACATCACTTAAAATCAAAATTCAGTGACTCACCTTTTAAACTTGTTTTTTTTTACCTTTTGTGTTCCAAACTTTTCCTTCCCTGCATAAGCAGCATACAGGGTGACTGTAATATAATCTTTCAAACTGAAGACTGTTAGGGGTCGGGCATGAATGCAAGCGAAGTAAACTATTTCAGATTATATCTTTTCTTTGGTACTTCGATAACACAATTTGGTCACAAGGAGGAACTAATGCTGAATCTAAGCTGTTCTGCTAGATTTCAAGGGTGGAGGGGAAAATACTACAAACATTAGTTTGCATCAGGACATTCATGAAGATTAGCTACATTTTTTAAGAGCTGGCTTTCCTCAAATGCCCTTTCTCAAAGTGCAATTAGGACTCAAAACTCTAGATTGCTCATAGAGGCAATTCTCTCATTTCCCCCATCAGTTATAGAAGTCTCCTCTTATCTGAATTGTCAGATAATACTTCCAATTCAGTGAATGTCTCCAAGTTACTATTCCCCAGATAGACCATAGTGTGTTATTGGATGTGAACATAAGCCTTGACAGGGCAATTAATATTGACATGATAGAAATGTTCTGCTACAAAACTTTACAGTATCAAGACCAATATGCGTGAACTTACTTAATTTACTTTGAGAAGGGAAAGCTGCTACAGGAGTCAAATTCCATAGATGACAGAAGGAAAGCAGTTTCAGCTATGGAACTGCTTACCTCTCTGTATCTTCAGGCAAAGGGACAGGACAGACTTCTCCCTTGTCCTTTCAGAACATACCCCATTTTGGACAATTGGGTTGTAAATTTTAGGAGTTTAGTTGTCAACCACTTATTTTAAAAAACTCGTGTGAGGCAAAAAAAAGAAACAGCCAAATAACTCATCTCAATTACAGGAAGATTAAAGCTGTTAAAAGATTTCTGGAAAATGTACAGTTTCCTTAAGACAACTGCAGCAGTCAAGCAGCTGCTGGATAATAAAACAGGACAGCAAATAATCACTTGCCAGAAAGGAAGAAAAAACTCATCTCAACAGGAAAATCCATTATTAACTTTGCTCTGCAGTAAGTATTTACTGTAAGAACTCACTGAAAAAGTATTTGTTCCCCAAATTTGAATTGTGGTTTTCCTAGACTGAATCCAAGCCTTGCCACAATTTCGTTATTTGGCATTTGGATAGGAAGTGGAACACAAGATATTGTAATTAATTCTAACATTCTACCTGGGAACCTATTTTGAAAGAAGAGCTATCAGCAACACTTGCTGAACTTCTAGTGAAAATGGACTCCACTCGGGAGCCAAAACAAGCCCTTGTAGCACTGGAGGCTCAGTCAGCTCCCTCAATGTTTCAATGCAAATCAGATGTCAAGAAAAGCATAGTATGTGAAAAGAAACAATAACAAACTTCTTCCATGCTTAGAAAGTTTCACATTAGGAGAAAAATCATCTCACAAAAACCTACATTCTTCAAAGCTTTCAGATGGAAATGATTTATTACAGAAAAAATAAAAATAGATCATTCCACAGTGAATCATCCTGACTTTTCTTCCAAACGTCCTAGCATTGCAGCACAGGTAAACCAAGAATCACTTAAATAAAAAATTAATTTGAGGAGCTCCAAAATACAAAGAAATGAAGTAAACATGACTAAACAGAAGTCTCAGTAAAAAAAAAAAAAAAAAAAAAAAAAAAA